ATGTGTGTGTGTGTGTATATATATATATATATATATATATATAATATACTGTATATTTGTAGTTCTAATTTACTGCTATTGCTAGGACCAAAGGGAAGTTACCGCTACGTGACAGCTGTATGAAAGCATTTAGGTGCCACTGGTCAAACTGTATGTTTCAACGAATGCCCAAGTAAATAGAAGCTGATATAAGCTTGATATCATACAGTTAAATACTGCATTTTTTTGTAAATGTGAATGCATACTGACTATATATGTGCAATTGTTAATGGATTGAAAATAAGAAAACAGCGAATGTGTCAGGTGCAGAAGTTTGGAAGACCTTTCAGCCAACACTTGTAACTCCTTCTTTGGCAGAACTAACAGTGTCCAAATGTTTCCTGTAACCAATTAAGAGTCAATTATTGCTTTTCAAACTTTTGCCCATCCCAAAATGTAACTCCAAATCAATTACAAAGTGCTTACAGAAAGAAAGGCAATGTTTTAGAATGACCGTCATGGTCTCCAGACTTGAATATTATTGAAAATCTGTGGAAAGGTTTCAAATATGCAGGGTATTCAAAAAGCCCTGAGAATATTTCTGAGTTCCCTCTAGAAAAGTGGAAAAAGGATCCAAAAGCAAGAATAGAAAGGCTTTTAGCTGGCTATAAGAAACATTTGGAAGCTGTTATTAGCCAAAGGAAAGCTTACAAAGTACTGTCTAAAAAGGTTTCCTTAAACCTGTCATATTCACTGTTTTCTTATTTTGAATCTGTAAACAACTGTACACAATATATAGCCAGCAGACATTCCCATTTGCAGAAAGATGTCCTTTTCAACTTTGTACCCTGTTGAAGTAGTTTCAGCATGAAAAGCATATTGTGCCACACAACAATTTTGAGTACAAAATTTATTCCTCCTGCCCCACCCTCCTTCCATGATACGGAACATAGAGGCAGAACTGAATTTAAACACAGTTGCAATTTCTTACTTACCGTATCGCTCGTCCAAATGAAGAAAAGAGCGGGCAGGATGGAATGTCAGCAGGTTTTCGAAAGGCCCAATAGTAAGACGCAAAGGCACCAGCAAGGGTACATTGACCCAATGCAATCGCAAAGTTGACCAGCCAGAGAAAGACAAACACATTGATAATTTGAAAGACTAAGATGTAGCGGTGGTATAGACTTTCTCCACCATAGAAAGCAAACGTACACTGGGCCCCTGGACATAGTTTGCTCACGTTGGTAGTGTTGAAAGTCTGTTCAGTGACAAAAGAAAAATAATCAGGTGGGGATATTAAAATGTTTTAGTACAATCTCAAACTATGAATCTTTCCAATGTTAGGCGAATGGGCAGAGAACAACAGAGGGCAGTGTTCAGCTAATGACTGTGTAAGCAGTAGTGAAACTCGTGGGTACAACACCTGGGATAGTGAAATAATAATGTATGGTGTAACACATTATAAAAATAGCTTGCAACATAAGCACAATCAAAATACTGGGTCTGATGTTAGTATAATAGAAACAGACCTTCTGTAAGTGATGAAACTTTGTTTTAGCAAAATGACAGGTCATTCAACCTGTTAAAATAATTTAAAAATCTCAACCGGTAATCAATTCATATGGCAAATGATACTCACAAACCATTCTAAAGGCACACACCAGTTAGCACATGTTAAGCAGTACTATATCTTATCTCTGGTTGTAGGTACTTCATAAGCTTCAGTGAATTTCTAGTGTTTCAATGTTTCAGATAGTTGCTAAGAAAGCTAACAAAATAATCAATAGTGCAATCTTCTATACCAGGGTTTCTCAACCTTGGCAACTTTAAGAAGTGTGGACTTCAACTCCCAGAATTCCAAAGCCACCTTTGCTGGCTGGGGAATTCTGGGAGTTGAAGTCTACACATCTTAAAGTGTCCAAGGTTGAGAAACACTGGTCTATATGTCTGCTCAATGCAAGCCTCTCTGCCTTAAATGCAACTTACACCCAGTTACAGATTTTAGTGGATTAAAAAGATTCATTTGTGCAAATCTGTTAGAAACAATGTGGGGAATTTAAATATGTCAAAGTTTATACTGACATTATAAATACAAAGGACACTAACTAATGAAGAGCTAGAACATATATGGGGTTTAAAAACAAATCGTATGCATGCTTACCTCTGGGTAACAGGTCAAATTTGCATATTTGCATAAGCTTTGATTAGCCATGACTTTGTACACAGGTTCTCCTGATGTAGCCAGGAAACTTGATTTAAATGGGTTAAGTAAGAAACAAAATCAGATAGAAAGACGCAGTATGTAACACTCTGTACCAAGAGGAAGAGTTTTAAAGAATACATTTAATTTCTGTTTGTTTTTTTTAATGACTAGCACAGGATATGATAACCACAGTATGCATGCATTTTCTAAAAACCTATTTGCCTGGTCTGCAAGTAATTCAGGAGAGGTATAAAATTTGTTACCCTTTTATTTAATAACAAGGGCATTCTTGTTGGTAATTTTGGGCACCAGATGAAAAAGGAAACAGTATAGTTCAATGACCACATATACAGTATGGAGACTATGGGGAAAAATACTGAGAAAGTTCAGAAAAATAAAATAAAAATATACTCAAAGTTAAAAAAAAAAGTCATCTAATATTCCAAGACTTTTATCCAAATGTAAAAAGGTCACAATCTTTCCTTGCAGTAGACCACTTAATACCACTACTTTACACTGTCATGTAAAGGTACACACCAGTCAGTGCATGTTAAGCAGTACTATATCTTATCTCTGGTTGTAGGTACAACATAAGCTTCAGTAAATTTCTAGTGTTTCAATGTTTCAGAAAGTGTAAAACTTGCATTTTCTATAAGGATTTCACCCACAATTAATCACTGAGAAGAGAAGCTCTGGGAAGGAATGCGAGTATGTAAATAAGTAATTAAGAAATCGTTGAAGAACATAAGATATTAATGTATAGTGAGTTTTGCGGGGTTCTTTTCATTTATTTACTTGAACAAGTCAAATATTGTCCATAAACTTCTGAAACTCTGCACTTTTGATGGCCAAAAAGAAAAATCATGATACCTCAATCAATCAAGCTGTGAGACTGAGACAGAGTTTTTCTTCCTATGCAAAACGTAGTTTCTTCTGAAGGAGGTTAAGACACTTACTTCATGGTTTAGCAAAGTATGATAAATTGAATAGGCTTGAAGTATGAACATTTTGCATAAATATGGAATTTAAGATTGGTTACTGAGTGTTTTAAGAGCACACTCTAAGGATGCCATAGAATAAATGGAATGTTTAACTAATGGTTAACAATGAGCAGGAATAAGACAAGCTTGTGTGATTTCCCCTTGATTATTTAATGTTTTAGGGATCAGTATATAAGCAAAGCTTGTTAGAAGTGTGTTGGTTAGGAACACCAACAATTGTGTGTACAATTTGTACGCAAATGATGTCATATTCTTGACTGAGGATGCAAATGATTGCCAGCAAATGCAACAAATAGTACAGATCTGAACATTATTGAATTAAAAATCAAAGCACTTAACTTTGACACGGAGATTGCGATGAATGATTGCAAGTTATAGATAAATTGCAAAAAACTAGAGCAAGTATATGAATTTGTATACTATGGCAAAATGTTTACTAACAATGGGAAATGGAGATATTTTAACATGTGCAAATGCCAATGTAAAGTAGTGGTATTATGTGGTCTCCTGCAAGGAAAGATTGTTTGTTGAAAGAAGTGAAAGTAACTGTGTAATAGCATGTTCCACCCACTATGTTATATATAACTGAGAGTTGGATATCTTAGCAGAAACAAAACTAAGTTGAATGCAGTGGGAATGGGTTACTTGAGAAATGTGTGTAGTAGCAAAAGAAAAGATAGGGTAAAAAAATAAATGGGCGAAGAATATAAAAATGGATTGAATACAAGAATGAAAGTATGAAAGAAGTATGAAAGAAGCATGAAAGAAGCATGTTGGTCTGGTCATAGAGAAAGAATGAATTAAGATTGAATTGCCAAACCAATATATGAAGGAAGAAATAATGGATCTAGAATGAGAAAGTTGTAACTGGATGGCATTAATAAGATCCTCAAAAAGAAAGAGGTGATAACTCTACACAACGAAAGGCAGTATATGGAGTAATGTAAAAATGTGGTGGAAACAAGGATGGTTTGCTAGGGCAGAAGAGTATGGAAAGGTATGGTGAATGGTATTGTATAATATTTAGCAATGTTTCCTTTTTCTTATTTCATTCCTTTTTTAAAAATTACTATTTATTACTTTTTCCTGCATTCTATATAATGTTCCTAAGCGGAATAGTGTGATGGATATGTAGTGTATGCATGTATGCACCAATAAAGTGCTGACCTGGAGATGTGAGAATAACTTGTGACCACTTACTCTGATAGAAAGAAGGATACACAGCTGTCACTGCCCAGTATGAAATGCAGATTGCAATCAAAATAAAGGTTATTATTGGATAGAATAATGTAGACATGATGTAGCCAATTGCCCTAAAAAAAAAAAAAAAAAGTTAAGTTATTCGATTTGTCAGGCTGTGACACAACAGACTTTGTATACAACAGACCAAATTTCCACTGTGATTTCTGTTACTTGTTTAAGTTTTCATTACACAAATACGTGTAGCATACACCATCATAAAAGTGATGTAGATTCCCACAATGCCATATTCTTTGATTCAGCGGCCATGACTGAGTATCAGACACCCTTCCCACTCATTAGTCCATTAGCATGAAGTTCATGTAAACATTATTTCTTTAATCTTTAAGGTTATTATTTTTTGCTTATGTATGTGAAAAGTTCCCATGACAACTAATGCCTATTTCTTTCCTATGCCTTTTACCTCTTTATTATAAAAGCTGTATAAAATTGGGTTGCCAAGTATTGCCCTCCAAAATTATCTCCTTCAGTTTGTCTCAAGTTCTACCTCTTCCCCAATTCTTTTATTCGTATTTCTTCATTCTTCTTTATTTTCTTTATTCATTTTATCATATTTTTAGATTATTATTGGCTTTTACAACAAGGCATGCTTTCCCCCAATGCTCTAGCTTTTAGCATCAGCTTCAATGCCTTTATTTTTTAAAATTCAACTGCAACTTCTGTCCAATTCACAGTTCTCTTGTTCTATCCATACCCATCCATTCCAATTCTTAGCAGATATATATGTTGAAGCTGATATAATCAAACGTATTTCCCTTAGATTCTTCATACTATAGGAACCCAGAAGTAGGAACTGTGGCTCTCCAGATATTGCTGAATTAGAATATAACTCCTAGGAACCACAATCAATGTTGAATCCTGGAAATTGTACCTCAGGAACACTTGGAGGGCGATAGGTGTTTAATTCCTGCTATATTCCATACAATACTAAAGTACAGTCTTTTCTTTCTTAGGTGTACATATAGGCACAAAACATATTCAGTTTTTGTTGCCAATGAAGGGGATTCTGTGAAAGAAAATATTCACAAGGGCATTATATTTAGGGGGGGAAATGAAACTCAGTGAAATATCCAGCACCCATCTGGGAATGGCATTGTAGAAGGTCAGAAGCAACACAGGAGTGGTAAGGTTGGGACAGAAAGCTTTCAATGTTAGTACTGCTTGTGTGTAAATAGGTAAACAAGAATGGAGACTTTCTTTGGTCCATGCATGGAGTAAAAAAAAGCCCTATTTAAATAAAAGCCTAATATTTCTTTTCTCCTTTCTAGCAATCTCTTCAATGTAACATTTTCTTGTTCTCTCTACTCTTTCTCAATGTTTGTTTAGTATTTCAATTTATATGGCTGCCCACCTCAAATTCATGACTCTGGGCAGCTAACAACCATTAAAAACTTCATAAAATACCTCACTATAAAAACAACACACACATAATCAGCAGCTGAGGTAAAAAAAACAGAACCACCACCAACAAACCAACATAGCTGTTGCACAGGTTCTGCCACACATCTGGATCCCCAAGCCTGGTGACAAAAGCATGTTTTTAAGGCCTTGTGAAAAGCCAGCAAAGTCAGAGCTAATCTAAACTCTGGGGTGATGATGTTCCAAAGGACAGGCACCGTGACAGAAAAGGTTTTCTTCCTGGGCCTTGCCAGAAGACATTCCCTAATAGACAGGACCCAGAGTGTGCTTCTCCTGCTGGACCTAATGGGTCAGGTAGACATAATTAGGGAGAGACAGTCCCTCAAATAACCCATGCCATGAAGCAATTTATAGGTCATTACCAGCACCTTGAATTGAACCTAGAAACATACTGGTAATCAATGCAGCTTGCAGAGCATAGGCATAATGTGCACCGATCGAGCAGTACACATATCTGCCCGTGCTGCTGCATTCTGTACCAGCTATAATTTTCAGATGTTCAAGGGCAGCTGCATGTAAAGCCCATTGCAATAGTCCATTCAGAGGTGATTGTGAGCAGAGCCTCTTAGCCCAGGAATGGGCGCAATTAGTGCATGACATGAAGTTGCACAAAGGCCTTCCTGTCCACAGCTGTCACCTGTTCCTCGAACAGGAGCTGTGAGTCCAGGAGGACCCCCAAACTGCATACAGGTTCTGTTTGAGGTAGTGCAACCCCATTCAGAACAAGAGATGGAAAGTCCCCAGAACTAGAGGACCCTAATACCCAAAGCCACTCAGTCTTGCTAGGGTTGAACTGAAGCCTGTTCTCCATGTTACACTGGCTTGAGCAGAGACAATAGTCATGGGTGGGTGGGATGGTGATTTTCCCCATATTCCCTTAAGTTGAACCTTAGTGGACACTGTGAGTATTGATTTATAGGCCAGTTGACCTTGAAAATTATTGCTACACCTGGAGATGGGATGCAGCAATAGCTTAAAAGATTAATCATAAGTCATCTAGAACATGGCCTTGCTTGCTAGGAAATATGGAAACTAAAATCCAGCATATCGAGAGCCCATCAGGTTGGAGAAGATTACTGTAAGCAATCTAGTTGAGGCCAGTCTCAGCACTGTCTTCTGTATTATTCTCATCTCTTGTCCCAAATCATTTTTCCTGCTACAGATGCAACCTGCATATAGATATATGCAACGTTTATATACATCTGTGTCACTATTTGGTAATGTTATGAAATATAACTTCCTATTCTATGTGATCATACTTTCTATATAGCTACCATTACAATCTTCATAGGCCTTCCCTAATGTGGTCAATGTACTCTGCATACGTTTATAATTATTTCACATAAACCAAATATGAGCTAAAACTTAAATTAAACCTTGCATTAAACATTAATTCTACATGGTCAATTAACGTATTGTGCTAGAAACATCTTGACTGTTTTTTCAATCACTGAAGAAGAGTATAAGCTTATGCTACTTAAGAAATAATTACTACAAATCAGTCCGTTTCAGAATTTAATGACAGGTGGGCCTTAGTGAAGTCACAGACTGTTTACTGTAATAAACTGCTTGATAAATTCTAAGAATAAATCACAACCAATTTATTGCTAATATAAACTGCCATTTCATTGAAGAAATAGTTAAACTAAGCTTGGAAAAAATTATTTAGCTTTCAGTCATTAGCCACATATTTTTCAAGTCCTTGATTATGGGCTACTTTCTGTTGTATTCACAATAAAGTGCAACATTTCTTTTTATGCATTATGCATAAATATTGGGGAATGTTGCCCTCAAGTGATCCTTGATGGAATACACAATACTATAATGAAATATTATTTCTCACTAGAAGTTTATGAAGTTTCGGGACTGTCTGATAAATATTTCAATAAAAGCACCTTTTTACCAAGTAATTTTGAAAAATAAATTATATGTTGCAGCCTAATACTTCAATTAATGCTAACTCCAAATGTATAGCTTTAATGAAAAAAAACCCTAATACATACTGAAACTGTAGAACTCATTATCTTGTAGGAGAACATGTATGTTGACACTAGTGGTTTGAAAGAAGGTAAGTTCCAAGGAAGGGCAAGGGAACATATTCACATTCTTGCACAATTGTGACAAATTTGTTCATTGAGAAATTTGGTTTTCAACAAGAAATTCAAGAATTCTGTGTGATTAGAAATTTGCTGCTGAGTAAACAGTGAGAGAAAAAACGATTCATCTAGTAATATGTATTGTCGAAGGCTTTCGCGGCCGGAATACGATGGCTGGTGTGGGTCTTCCGGGCTGTGTGGCCGGGTCACATCATCCTGGGCACAGAGAGAACTGTCTGTGCTCCTGCTCTCTCAAGATGCCGGTCACAGATGCTGGTGAAACATTAGGAAACAAAACTTCCAGAACACGGCCACACAGCCCAGAAGACCCACACCAGCCATCATCTAGTAATAGTTGCAGAGAATGCAAGGTTCCTAAGGAGCCTGTGTAATCAGGGTTTGTGTAAACTAGGACAAATGCTACACATTCTAGAAAGGTCATATAATACACTTAGCCAGGTCTAGCAGATGCATTTGTACAACTTGCTAAGTCTGAATATACAAATACATATATGTGTGTGTGCACGCGCGTATTTCACAATATAAAAATAAACACGTCTTTTACGAAAATAAATGTTTTGAATGCAAGAAAATTGAATGATAAAAAAAAAATGTAAGAAGTTCAGTCAAATCTGTCAGTTATTCCAGAAACTCTCAGGAGATTCCACTGGATCACTTCCATTCCACGTTTTGGGGGTTCTTCTCTGCAGAGATGAGGATTTTATTCTTTTAATTGCATTGTTTAATTTGCTGTGATGCTGCCAAGTGAGCCCAAAAAATTGTTGAGAGTTTGATGACAACACTAAAGAGATGATACCCCACCAGATATTTTACTCTCAACTTCCCCCAAAACAGCAATCCTGATTATAGGCTCAGTGAGGGATAACAATAAGATATTTAATTTATACAAGAACAGAGATAAGGCGGAGATACACCTGAGAGAATTTCAGACTGAAATACTCTTCCCCTTACATTTATTTTCAATATTATTTCAGGTAAAATGACCAAACTAATGATGTTGACTGATCCTTCTGTACAGATACCTAATGTACCTTTTTAATTAAAAAAGTATAAATACTACATAAAGTGGGTAATCTAGTTCACAATTTTTCGAGGTAGCAGGATCATACTAATTAAGCAATACTCAGCATTCTTGCAGAATGACTCTGTTCACACTTAAGATAATCTACATTGTGAAAGGGAACGTCTTGTCTCCTTCCTTCATGTACAACCTGACTATGAACCAGAGCAAATATTCTAATATCTCTAACAGGCCTGTAGTTGCCATGGCTTTTGGCCAGCTCTGCATGTAATCATACTTTTATGCAGGCCCTCAGACAAATATTTTGTGCTAGTTTGTGTTAGCTTCGTTGATGGGAAGAGTAGAGATCATTTAGTTCTCACAGAAAAGTTTCTCACAGGAGAGAAAGGAAAGGACTATAGACAGACTGGCTTTGGAAATGGGGCCTCAAAAAATCATCAGAGAACACTCTGGAAAGGCACACGCCTTTGTTTATTTGTTTACCCAAGTTCCAAGAGCCAGATAGAACTTGAGACGAAGCTTTTTTAGCTAACAGAAGTTTTACTGGCCAAGAAACATTCTGGATGGCTCATTCAACACAGTGGCAAAGTGTTGAGGAGAAACACACCTTTCAAAGCAAACAACAGAGATTTTATAGGCATTTACAAATGTACATCCCCTCATACCCATACAAGGAAATACAGGGATGGTCTAGGGAGCAGTAAAGGTAGATCTCAGAAAGAGAAAGTTAGCTCAACTCTCTTCTCCTATTACCAAAGAAACACCTACCTCCTTATCTCTCTCTGGAATGCAGGGCCTCTTTGCAACTTTTACCAAGCTAATTGCTTATTCGAAGACAATCAGGCATTCAACAAAGAGATAAGGTGGGGGG